GCAAATATATGTTTACTGTTTAAATCTGCTTCATCTGCAACATCGCAAATCCTCTAATATTTTGTTTTCCACTTACAAGAGTAAAACGATAAAAAGCATTTCAGTGTCGGATATATCAGGAGTATATTAGTTGACTTTATATCGGCAAAACGTGAAGAACATTTTCCAAAAAATAAAGGAACATAGAAATATTTTCTTTAATGTGAAGACTAATTCCACATTTGCAAACCATCTTTCCATAGGTGCATGATTTCAACCACGACTATGGATTATTTCATTTGGAAGAGAAAGTTTTGAAAGTCAGTCTTTTGGAATGCTTGGAAATTAATATATTGAATATATATGATGGAATTGGCCGATAGTTGATGATGATTCATAGCTAACGTACTTAAAAAACACTTTATTGTGAGATTTTCACTAAACAATTTTACAAAAACACGTATTTCGCCATACAATGGTGTAAGGACACGCCCGAGGAAGCCATTGTATGGCGAAACACGTGTTGCGTTTTTGTAAAATTGTTTAGTGAAAATCTCACAATAAAGTGTTTTTTGAATACGTTTTATATTGAAGAATTCTGATAATTTACTGCACGACTAAATAGAATTGAATTATTCCCTAATGTGGAAATCGGTAGTTAGTTTATTACATGTTCATTCATATTTTCAACAGTTTTTATCCAAACTTAGGTGAAATTATTTGTCATTGAGTAGTCACATGGTTCTGATTATTATTATATTGTATGAGCACATTTAATACGTTGGAATAATTTTCTTTTCGGGTGATTGAAAATTTCAATTAGTTTTTACCTCAACTTAGGTGAAATCATAAGTAATTAAGTATGTAATGTAAGACATCCAAAATATAAATGTGCTCGAATTCCTGTAGCACTCAGTTTCAAGTGCTATAGGAAGTTATAAAGTTGTAGACGCATTTTTCGTATACATGTATCACTTTGCTCAATTCGCTACGAATGGTGATTGATCTGTAGTTGTCAAATAGCAAGGGGCAATATATTTTCAAAAAATGCAAAAAAGGAACTTTTTTTATATTTGCAAAATATCGTGGAATGTCGAGAGACATTCCACGTCTTTGGAATTTTAAAGCCCATGAATAACGTTGCAACTTCAGGGTTGAAATGAAAACTGGTCAAATTGTCAACAGAATTAATAGTACCTGAAAGGGTTACATTTTCAAATATTTGCAAAATATCGTGGAATGTCGAGAGACATTCCACGTCTTTGGAATTTTAAAGCCCATGAATAACATTGCAACTTCAGGGTTGAAATGAAAACTGGTCAAATTGTCAACAGAATTAATAGTACCTGAAAGGGTTACATTTTCAAAATCTCGTCTCAAACCCTTGAGTTTAATAATGTACGTTTGGCGAATTTATAAGCAATAATGTATTCATACCCTATCAATTTTTTACCAATGTAAAGTTTTCTTCATTTGTCTGCAGAAAGGTTGGTTGGGTAACAGGATCAATTTTTTCTAACAAAAAAACTTATTTTATTGCCAATGTTTCAAATTTAATTGAATTCTTCTTCAGAGTTATGTTACAATGAATTTTCATAAACGTACCTCCCACAAAACTTATACGATTATTATCGTTTCAATTTTACAAGACATAATGTGTTCTCAATTGAGTTCACCGAAAAGTAGTTTCTTCGTGGTAATATTACTATTTTAAAAACCATTAGACATATTAGATACATATGATAAAAAACATTGCAACAATCAAGTTTTCGAGACAACATCAATACAGAACGACATGACACAAACGAATGGCTTTATCTGTGATTCTGAGAAGGTGGTGTCTATTTTTTAATCAATGACAGAAAGGAAAAGAATGAAAAAATGGTAAATTATTAAGGAATTTTACTTATCAAACTGAAATATGGAGTATTAAGGCCATCGACATATCTTCTAGTATCAACACTATCGCATTTGAGGATATATATATCATTTCGCTCGAGAGTCTTTGAATAAATATGGTTGAATATCCAGAATAGTTGAATGATCAAAATCATAAATGTATCCATATTCTCTTTCGTGTTCAACGAGGGCTCTGGAATTTTTTATATTCAGTCCCTCATGTGTTCTGAAACTCGTGAACTCGTGTTTCATTCAAGGTACCGTCCGGTTTGACCAACATAGTATTTGTGACAGCTCCCACAGTTCAATTTGTAAACTATATTGGATTGTATGCCTTGTGGAGTTTTTGTTTCGAGAAGAAGTGCTTCCCGATTGTATTATTATTTGAAATGGCCACTTTAATTTGTTCGGTACTGTATACACAAGGATTGAATACCTTCGAGACCTATCTTTAGTTTTGTTGGTTCTCCCGTCTATAGGCTTTTGAAATGGATTAGCGAAACATTGACACACGGTTTCGAAAAGAATGAATTCTATGAGAATGATTATTTTTAATTTTCTAATTTCATGAGAAATAAAATGATACCTGAGAATTACATTTTAATTTCTTTTGGGGCGGTATCTCTTTTTACAAACATTCCTATAAATCTCTTGATTAGTATGATTTAAGGAAAATGGGATATAATTTCAAACGTTACCACTTCACCCATAGAGTTTTTCATAGAAGTTTTTGAATTCTGTATAGATTCTTATTTCTTTTCTTACAATCGATCTTTTTACAAACAAATTTTCGGGTTGGGAATGGGTAATTGTATGTCACCCATTTGTGCAGACTTGGTCATGACAGAACTACAAAATATATGCATGCATTTTCATTGCCTCTTGACGATATTTCTGCTTCCATTTCATTCCATTACAAATAAACAAACTGAAATATTACCTACCTACTTTTCATAGTTTTCATCTGAAATTTACTCTTGAAATGGAAGAAAATAATTCATCAGCATTTCCATATACTAAAATAATTAAAGATGCCAATCGAATTTTAAAGGTAGACTGGTATCATGAATCAACTTTTTCAGAGATATTTTTAAAATATTTTTCAAAATATATCTTTCACAGTGAAATCAACATTATGAGAAATTTGAAATCAAGAGCAATTGCCATATCCAATTCTGGGTTCCATAACAAAAATCTCCAATTAATTGAGAATTACCTAGTAAAAAAAGAAAGAAGTTCCTCTTCCCAAAATACAGGGTTGAAACCCAAATATCACCAAATTCCATTTGTAGAAAATGTATCGGATACATTTTGAATGCTATTCAGTACAGAACAAATTGAAGTGGCCTTTTCAAATAATAATACACTTGTCCCGAAACAAAAAACAAAAACACCACAAGACATACAATCCAGTATGGTGTATTAATTGAACTGTGGAAACTGTCACGAATGTTATGTTGATCAAACCGAACGGTATATTGAAACACGAGTTTCAGAACACATAAGAAACTCCAAGAAACTAAATATAAAAATCCACAGCCCTCGTTGAACATGAAAGAGAATATAGACACATTCTTTATTTTAATCATCCAACTATTCTAGATATTCAACCATATTTATTTAAAAGACTCTTGGCGAAATGATATATATCCTCAAATGCGATAGTGTTAACACTAGAAGAAGAAGATTTACAAGATTTACAACAAGAAGATTTATGGACTTCTGACAGAATCTTCCAGGAGTGGCTCACTCTAAAGCGTCTATTCACCCTTCGAAGCTTGATACCAAACAGTTGTTGGACTACAGTAGGGATGAACTACAATGTATAACAGGCCTTCTTACAGTTCACTGTCATTTGAATCTTCATATGCAGAGACTTGGATTGTCGGAAGACAATCCGACAGTGTTGCTGTTTGGAAAATGATGAAACCGTACTCTTACCATCCAACCTGTAAGACCACTCACCATATAAACTAATCGGTTTCGTTAAAAATCTGGCTTTTTTTAATCAAGTGTGAATAGGTGTGAGCCACAATAAACCCTTGCGGATTACGGTGAAGGGTCGAATAAACCCGATTACTTTGGACTTAACTTTTTACCTAACCTAATCTCAGGACCATAGAATTAGGCTCCACGTCGGGCGCCAAGTTGTAGTAGAACTGAAAAAGCTGTCTTTCAAGTCCAACAGTGTTTTGAATAATTTGTAGGTTCGATAGAGAGTTATAAATCAAATTTTTCTAAAGTATCTAGTTTATTCAGAAATGCTGTTCAATTTAACAAAGCTAAAATATTAGGGATAAAGGGAAAAGTCACAGTTGAATATTACAAGCATTGCTTATTGAATCATAATAGGGACGAATTACCTATAACCAGGTAACACATCAATATTTGGTAATTTTCGTGATACTCCTATGGACACCTATAGGCGAGAGACACAATCCTTTCAAATGCCGCTAGCGTTCTATTGTGGGAACTAACGTCTTAGACGCGGTTTATCAACGTATTGATACATCTTCAATATATTGATCAGTGCGTATTGCATCACTAATATTGAACGTATAGAGAGTACTTCACAGAATTGTCTCATTTGACATTTATACAGTGTGTCAATTTGAAAACTTCCCACCCTCAATATCTCCCTTCCAGTACATAATATGAAAAAATGGTCAGACAGGTCAACTTTATTTGNTCCTAGGGGGTTGAACCCCGAGGGTTGAAAATATTCATTCAGAGTGTCCCCCTTGCAAATAAAGTTGACCTGTCTGACCATTTTTTCATATTATGTACTGGAAGGGAGATATTGAGGGTGGGAAGTTTTCAAATTGACACACTGTATATCATATTTTTATTTGTCCTGTTTTTTGATTTGAAACCATTCTATATGTGTCTAATATGAATATCGAAACTTTCCCAACTTTTAATCTGATTGTACACAACTGAAAAAAATTATTGAAGTAGTAATGTGAAGGAATAGTTTCCTTTACACTATACTTGAGTGAATTTTTGTTTATACAATAAATATACTCAACAAAATCATCACTTTTTCCACCTCGTAGTAATTGTTTTTTGGCGAATGACAATTATAAAATGTATTTGAACTTAGTTACAATTTTCCGTTACAGTGATGGAAGTTGCGATGGGAGAACACGGGGCAGATATCAACGCTTTGGCAGAAACCTCAAAACTCGACCAATCCGCTAGTATTGAATATAATAATCATAAGGGTGAGCAAAATATATTCATTTTGTTTATATTTTTAATAATATATTGTCGAATATAAATCAAATTATTGATTTTTTGTTTTCGTTAAAAGTGTCTGGTGCATGAGAGAATACTGGGCAAAGCTAAGACACAAATCCCGTCTTGAGTGAAGCTTCAGATTAGGCAACTTTGGCAACCAACCGAAAAGAAAATCTACCAAAATTATTTACCGGTGTAATTCTTGAAATTTCTAGTGGTCTGATTTTGCGTTGTTTTTACAATAATTTGGAATATTTCAGTTTCAAGTTTCCTCGTTATACTGATATAATGATAACTCAATTAGGTGATTATGATATGATTATTAATGCTTATCAATTTTTACGACATTCATAAAAAATAATCAACTTTTAATGAAGTTCATTAAGTTGCTTTCTAAATGATGAGTATCATTATTGTCACATGACATGAGTTCATATTCATATTCTATTCTCACTGGTCAGTTTTATGGAATCGTTATCCGTTATTGTATTCAGTATTACGAAATTTCAACATTACTGAAAAACTTGAATTAACTTCGAGTGCTTGCCATTACTTCAGTTCGAGCTTCATTCTCTCAAAATATCTGCTAAATCAAATTTTAAGAAACTAGGTAATAATAATTTGAAAAAATTGAATAATAATTTCATCTTTAAAAAATATAAGTATATATCGAGTGGTTCGAGTGAGTTATCCTACCATAAAAACCTGGAAACAAGTTCTTGTTTTGGATTCATTAACAATATTCTTCTCAAAATAATAAATTGAAAAATTGTGTTATCATTTAAGAAAAGAGAACTGGGATACTGGGGGATTCAGTGTTCAAAAACTAATTTAAAAAAAATCTATTATTTAATACATTTCCTGTTATTTTATAGGAAAAGCTGGACTTGAAATGTTTTTGGTGCTATCGATCTTGAATGAACCTAGTTAACGATGTTATGTTAATGATATTAACCTAGTTAACAAATCTATAGATTGTTTTGTCCGATAAAAGACTTCACGTTATCAAAATTGATTATCCTGAACAACATGTCATCACAAAAACCCAAAAGGGTTAGTCACAAGAAGATCTATTGACATGTCTCAATTCCATTTTAAAAGTTTTTTTGATGTTCAATGGTTTTTTGTTGAAGTTCGATGGTGTTTTGTTGATTTCAATGGTGAAAATAAAATATTTTTTCAAACTACTTTTGGAACCACTAGCTATTCACCTCTACAATCCTAGATTTGTGGAAAAACTTTCCAAGAATAAATTACAGCTTGAATGTGACGTTTCAAAAAATAAATGAAATATTGTTTTCAAGTTTCGTCCAATCCATTATTACAAAAAGAGATTGGTCGGATTAGTATACAATAATGAAAAATTATGTTTTGAAAAAAAATTTTGCAAAAAATAAAATGATTCTCAAAATTAATTTTGAATAGATTAACTTCCTCAATGCATTGGTATCTCAAACTTATATATAAAACATTTTTTGTTAACTCCACACCATCTCAAACTGATAGATAGATGTGATACATCCTTCTTTATATCGAAAACCCACTGTTGAAACCGTTCAGAATATTTGTTTATTTTTCTAAAACAGACGAACAAAAATTATGTTTATAGTCATATAGTCATTATAGTCATCAAATTGTATCCACACGAAATCTTTGTATCTTTGGTATCATTAGTGTCCATTTCAGTCATACAAATAGCCTGCATTCCACTGGCTGTAGAAGTTTGTATTACCTATCATTTATCGCCAAACAACGAACATTATATGAGTCAAAGGAGGAACAAATATATCTATAGATAATAATAAAATAATAATAAAATGGAATTATAATAAAATGGCTCTTTGCGAGCTGTTTTATGAAGTCACTACTCTGTATCTTGTTTTGTCACGACTTGACCAAGATTACCCAAACTCTTGTTCTGTTGAAATACTATTTTTCAAGATAAAAAATCTTCTCGTGTCTTGGTAACAATACTACCACAGATATTGCAACATGACCAAAAATTGTATTTGGGTATTCTTTGTATTGAAACTTTTAGAATAATTGTTGTTCTCGCCATTTTGGTAATTACAATTTGAATATATCAAGCGTGCTTTTAGTGGATTGGTCAAACGTTAATTACTTGAAAGTTATGAATTCAAATCGTTCGTGTTCAAGCTAAGATTATGATGGGGCCTATTTTAGTATATTTTCAACAACTTTCTGTAGCTTGATATCCTTGCTTAAATGTATTACCAGAAAAATCCATATTAGAAGCTTCGTGAAATACCGCACCTTGTAGCATACCAAGAGATAGATAATAAATAGCTCTGAATGGTCAAACTCATGAAACGCTCTAGGCGAGGTTTTCGCAGTCTGACGGTCCAAAAACATTCATCTTCAATAATCATATTCATTATTGAATAGTTAGTTGTCTGTTTATTCATCATTTGAATCAGTATTTATGATGGAATTTTAATAATAATGAATATTCAAAGGTCTAGTTTTATAGGAAGTTTTTACGTTTTTTTGTCTACGAGTTTATTTCTCACCTTGGAAAATTTTGATATATTTTAGTTATTTCTATTCAACGATTTTTTTGGTGATGCATTCTTCTTTATATTTGTAGTAGTTTTTCATTATCATGGGGACCTCGATTTCTTTAGTTTCGGGGAATAGAAATGTCAAGAGACGTGGTTCGGGTCGTGGTTTCGAAAACCCTATTCTTGACACAAACTGAGTGAATTGAATTTTTTCACTAATTTATGACACTCCGTTTTGAACCTTTTAAACTAATATGAAGATTTGAAAGATACAGAGGAATGTCAGGGATGTCCTTTCACGAAGACTCATGTTCGTATATATATCTGCAGTTTTCAGTATTCCATCTGCATTATGATTTCAAAGTCTGTTAGTCTTTGTTTAAACAATATTGTTCATTCCTCAAACTATTGGGGAAAAGAATAATAGTCTATAGTTTTTTCCTCTCGAACAAATACATTTCCTTGTTCTAGAAATGTTCCTATTTAATTCAACTATCTTCACCTTATCTTTCTTAATAGTATGCACATAGGTTAGAAACCAATGAGAAACGTTCATTTTTAGTAAGTACAAAAAACAAAACGATGATTTCATATAGAATATACAAATCTAGTTCATATGTACATTACACAAATTGAAGTGTTCAATTTGTTGGAGATCCCTATCTCGATCATGTTGACTTTGTCAACATGTCAAATATAAGTTTTGAGCTATCATAATCTTACCTAAATCTGCATTCCATCAGGTTATGGATTTTCTTGCAATAGTTTGAAGGTTTATTCTGTTTGTTTCGAATAGTAATTGCTGCCATTTGCTTCCATGATGTCTCTACACAGTATATTGCCGTTGAAGCATCTGAAAGGCCGTGAGAATTTTGATATTTGGAAATTCGTTGTAAAACTATATTTAATAGATTTGGATCTATTGGACTGTGTTTTAGGTACCAAAAATGAACCTAAAAAGATCACTAAGTGACGTTAAAAATTGCTTTCATCGGTTGATCCGTTGAATTATGTTCATTTGAAGGTGGTTTTGACAATGTTTCGTGGTGTATTTCATCAGTTCGGACTTCCGTTGTCTACTAATATAATATAAACTGATTTGAAATTCCTGAAAAAAAAATTAAAAAGATCAACGGAAAATAACAATTGTATTAGACAAAAAACTGAAATTATAAAGAAATAACATACAAGCAACAACCAAAATAATAAAATTGGAATATTAATACAAGCTGAAAAATTTAAAATATTATTTAAAAAAAATGAAAAATAAAAATTAAAAGATTCCAAACCAAGTTACGTCACGACGTTTCGATTGTTAGTATCCACAATCGTCTTCGGGTGATAACTGTAATTTCAGGTTTTGGTTCAATAAAATTGTTATTTTCGATTAATCTTTTCAATTTTTTTCAGGAATTTCAAATAAGTTTATATTACATTAGACAATGGAAGTTCGAACAGATGGAATTATGTTCTTATTCAAAATAAAACCACCGAAAAACAAGTTTGGGATAACGACACGACGGAGTCGTGTGTAATATTTACCAAATTATAAGAGTGTAGCTCCATTGATGAGTGTGTTGAAAAAAATTGTCTCAACAGCACATAATATGTTACCTACTGTAGGTCTCACGGTGACCGACGAAGTAGCAGAAAGGATATTTCTTGTTGGTTTACCTTGTCGTTAAGAACCAATGGTAATGGGTATTGAATATAGGATGAAGAAAATATCTTTTTTCTGATTTCTATTATGAGTTTTCATTCGTTACGACCGGTTTTGGTTTGTTAGACCATTTTCAAGTGTCTAAAGTATTTTTCACAAAAAAAATCTGGAATATACAATGGAATAGTAGGTATATGTGCTTTTGGTACCTGCAATAGTTACCTGAAAGTTCAAGTAACACTTTATAATTGTTATGAATGCATTTTCCTTGATACACATTACATCTATACACACAAAATAAATCATTTTCAAAATATGGCGGTCCTACATGTACACTTGAGCTGCACCCACTTGAATTGTAGGTAAGGATTTCAAAGTATTATCATTGTTTTTTTTTCTTTTTTATTGTTTGGGAATTTGAACATGAACTGTGGATTTTTGCAGGTAGGTAGCTTAAATACTAGATCCTTAATACCTCCGTTAAGGGATATTAAATTATTAGTTTCGGAGTATTCCTTTGACATTTTACTTATATGTGAATTTTGGCTCACAAGCAATATAAGTGATGATGATATCTCCATTGATGATTATAAGTTGTACAGATTAGATCGAGCTAACAGAGGTGGAGGGTTGTGTATTTGCATAGCCCATTGACTAATAAGAAAGTTTTTATTCCTTATTTAGAGGAATCGGGCAAATTACGGATGTGCAGTTGGTTAGTTCCTCGTCCACTAGATGGAGTGACATTTTTGATGTTCGCTCCAACTTCGGAAGAGGAATGAAATACTCTGAAAGAATTCCG